ATTTGATTTTTACCCGGAATTTATCAGGATTCTATGGAAATGATCAGGAATTTGTGTATGTTTTGTTCCGAGAAATGTGCATTTTCCGGAACGATAATGAAGCGATAATCTGAAGAAAGTCGGGATACAATTTTCGAAAATTTTTTATAGGGATTGGAACAATAATTCTGCACCATCGGCGGTTTACAAGAAGGCATGAAAACAAGAACCTGTAATTATTTCTAAGGTTGTTAAATATTTCAAAAAAGCATTCGTTTGGTAAGAATATCATTTTGGGCGGCTAAAAAAAAGTGAAATTATCCAAAATGTTAGCGTCAGATAAATTTATGCAACACAAATCGAAATGTTTTGTTTATATGTACGTTCTTTGTAGGACATTCGTATAATGCTGATGCAAATCAGCTGCTCGGTAACTTATTTGTATGTACAATTAAAAAAAGGCTTATTTTAAATACAACGCCTAAATCAATTTTATTAACTTTTAAATTTCATTTAGTTTATTTAGTTTGTAATAATTATACTTCATAAATTTGAGATAAATTACAATAAGCTAATTAAATTTATTAATATTATTAAGCAATAACTGCCAATCTAATAAATTTAAACTCTAAGTTTTAAAAATTTGGATTTAATAATTTGATTAAGCTTACATTACTTTAATCAACATTTGCTATCAGCTAATTTTTGATAATAAAGATAAGCTTTATATTCATCCTTTTCAACTCCAATTCCATTTTTATAATAATAGCCAACTTTGTACATTCCATTTGTAGAACCCAAATCTACGGCTTTTTTGTAATAAATGAATGCCTTGTTTTGATCGTTTTCGATTCCAACGCCATATTGATAACAATAACCAACATTGTATGTTGCGAATTTATTTCCCATATCCGCAGCTTTTTTATAATAAATGAATGCTTTGTGTTTATCTTTTTTGACACCAATTCCTTTATGATAACAATAACCAACTTTATTCGTTCCACTAGCATTACGCATGTTAGCAGACTTTTGATAATAAGTGAATGCCTTGCTTTCATCCTTTTCAACACCAATTCCATGATGATAACAATAACCAACGCCATATATTCCCATAGCATATCCCATATCAGCAGATTTTTTATGATAAAAAAAAGCCATATATTCGTCCTTTTTAACACCTATTCCATTATTATAACAGTCAGCAAGTTTATCTAATCCACAAGGATCATTCATATTAGCTGACATTTGATAGTAAATGAAAGCTTTGTGTTCATCTTTTTTAACACCGATTCCTTCTTCGTATAATTCGCCAAGATCACACATTCCATAAGAATTTCCCATATCGGCGGACATTTTATAATAAATGAACGATTTATGTTCATCCTTTTTAACTAATCTTCCATAACGATAGCAACGTGCGACAATAGTTAAAAGTATAGAATTTGATTGATTACTTAAGCACAAATTAATTAGGTCCTTTGACTTTATTTGGTTTTTTGCCAAATATTCTTCAATTGAATTAATAAATTCGGAATCATAACTTCCTTTAGATATTTCTTTTTCGTGCAATTTGCATAATTCTTCGACAAGTTTTTTATCTAAGGACTCATTGCCATTGTGTAATATATTTATCGGCGTAATGGAATCTTGCTTCTGATAGTCGTGAATTTTATCTTTTGCTGGCCGTTTATATATGCGGATTATTTTAAATATTTTATGAATCTTCATTTGATATCATTAATGAAAAGATAAAGTTATGTGAATATTTAAGTTTGTTAATAGGATTAAAAGTGGATTTTTAATTGAAATTTTGTACGTACATGCAAACTTATTACGGAATGAAAGACCGATTACGTAATGTTGTCGTCGTTGTATAATAATAACAGATAAGTGAAAAATCCGTGGTACAGCATGTATGTATTTATATACTCCTTCCACATGAATACATGGATCATGTGCATGATAGGGAACACTATGACTATTAAAATTGTCAGAAATTGCAACTTCACCGTTTATTTTCAACTAATAATATATAGCATGTGATGCAATAATATGATATAATTATTAATATGTTTTTACTTAATTTAAATTAAAAATTTTTTTGTTGTGTTTAAATTTATATCGTGGATTATCATGGGAATGGATTATGCTGAAAATTTTGGCCCGAATTATGAAAATTTTTTGGGCCAGTTGGCCCAAATTATGGTTTAATTGATACTAGTAAATGTAAATTTTGGCTTAATTCCGTAAAATATCTAGTATAATTTTTTTAGGGTTAAGGTTTAGAACCCTTTTAGGGTTAGAAAAAGAGAGTATAGTTTTTAAATCAAATATTTTTCATATAGGTTAAAAAACATTTCCAGCGTAATCAATTTCTACGATAATCTCGACAATTTATTTCTTTTTCAGGGAAACGGAACTAATAAATAAGGCTAATGTTGAATAAATTGTAAATTTTGTGTGAATGCTTTTAAGCAATTCTCAGGAAGACATCTCCTTCACCTGTTGACTAATAACAAGCTCAATTAGTGTAATATAACATGGTCAGTAAAATGGTTTTTCGAAAACAAACAATGGTTTATTTTCAAAAAAAAAAGGCATAAGAAACTTAAATGTTTTAACAAAAAGTTTTCTTTGAGCAAACTTATAACCTAAGCTAAATGTTATCTTAGTATAAGTAAAGTTAAGAAATTTTAAGAGATGTCTTCCGTGGTTGATGCCTACTTCGTTCGAACTTTGTCATATATTTTCTTTACATCACAACCAATTGGTTATTTAAATTCACAGAATAATAATGACCTTTATGCTAATTAATTAAGGATTTTACTAAAACGCACCTATGGTGTTTTACACCTATGTATACATTATCTCAAAAACTGGTTAATTAATTGTTGTGAGGTGTTCTAAGTAAAAATGTTCTACGCCTAAAAACCCTTCCCAAACCCTAATCCTAACCTTAAAATTAATTTAATGTGAAAAAAATTTGTGTTAAAAATTTTATATACAAAACTTATAAAAACTTGGAAATTTTAAAAAACATAATAAAAACATATAATAGGTGCAAAACCACCATAGGTGCGTTTTATAATAATTGAACTAAATAAACTGGTGGCTACCTAAAATTTGATTTGTTGTTGTATTAAATTTCACCAGTTTCACCAACATTCACTAAGAGTTTTACCAGTTTCATCAACATCTATAGGTTTGACTGTCCAAAAAGCTAAAACATGCACCCCAAAAATTAGAAATTTTGTATTCAAAATCAGCATCAGCCATGGCAATTATTGTCGCAGATCATAATTTAAAATGAAATCTACATTTTCTACTCAACCTGTTAACCTTCTAAAACCCACTTATA